TATTCAAGTAGACCGTAGAGTAGACAATGGATATATAGTTTGGAGTTCAAGGGAGAGGCCCAGGTAAGATATATAAATTTGGGAGTCATCTACATATAGATGGTATTTATGGTCATGAGATCACCTGCAGAGTAAATATAGGGAAGAGAAGGGATTAAAGGACCGAGCCCCAGAGTGCTCAACACTTAGAGGTTATTGAGATGAGGATGAACTAGCAAAGAACTAGCAAAGAAGACTGGAAAGGAATAGCCAAGGAAGTTTGTAGAAAAGTAAGAGAATGTGGTAGAAATAACATGAGGAATGTGTTCTAGGTAAGGTGGTCTATATCCATCTTGACTGACCAAGTAAATAAGACCCAATAATTGACCACTAGATTTAGCCACGTGGAGGTTATTGATCATTTTGTTTGTTTGTTTGTTTTTGTAGAGACAGGGTCTCACTATGTTTTCCAGGCTGGTCTCAAACTCCTGGACTCAGGAGATCCACGTGCCTTTAGAAAATTAAGTACTGGCTGGGTGTGATGGCTCATGCCTGTAATCCCAGCACTTTGGGAGGCTGAGGCAGTGGATCACTGAGGTCAGGAGTTTGAGACAAGCCTGGCTAACATGGTGAAACCCCAACTGTATTTGAAAAAAAAAAATACAAAACTTAGCTGGGTGTGGTGGCATGCGCCTATAGTCCGAGCTACTTGGGACGACAAGTGATTCAAGGAGAATTGCCTGAACCCAGGAGCCAGATGCTGCAGTGAGCCGAGATCACACTACTGCACTCCAGCTTGAGTGACAAAGCAAGACTCCATCCTAAAAATAAGTAAATAAATAAAATAGAAAATTAAGTACTCAGTAAATGTTCGCTGCTATATTCTTTTTTTAGTTTTTGCTTTTATTTTTGTTTTTCTCTCACACTGAGCTGCTGCTATCCTGTTTTAGAAATATAGTGAAAATGGGTAGATTAGCTGCCCTAGCAAGGGATATATGCTTTTCCTAGAGAGCAGTCTTTGAGATGTTTGAGCAGTGGCTTCTTCCCAGTGACCCTCTTGACCTGCACCATGGGCTCATACCCCTATGCCATTTAAAAATTTTTTTATTTTTAATTTTCTATTTCCATCTGATACTTGAATCCATGTCATTTTTTTTTTACCCATTGTCTTCTGTTTCCCTTCTCACTTGAATGAAGTTGAGAGAGCAGAAGCTTGGTTCATCTTCTGGCTCTGTCTTCCACCACCCCAACTCCCAACTTTGCTTTTGAACTATAACTTTTTGGGTTTTTTTTTTTTTTTTTTGAGACGGAGTTTCAATCTTGTTGCCCAGGCTGGAGTGCAATGGCACAATCTCAGCTCACCCCAACCTCTGCCTCCTGGGTTCAAGCGATTCTCGTGCCTCAGCCTCCTGAGTAGCTGGGATTACAGGCATGCGCCACCACGCCCGGCTAATTTTGTTTGTGTGTGTGTGTGTGTGTGTTTTGTTTTTTGTTTTGAGACAGAGTTTCGCTCTTCTTGCCCAGGCTGGAGTGCAGTGGCGTGATCTCGGCTCACTGCAGCCTCCGCCTCCGAGGCTCAAGCGATTCTCCTGCCTCAGCCTCCCGAGTAGCTGGAATTACAGGCATGCACCACCACACCCAGCTAATTTTGTATTTTTAGTAGAGACAGGGTTTCTCTATATTGGTCAGGCTGGTCTCGACCTCCTGACCTCAGGTGATCCGCCCACCTTGGCCTCCCAAAGTGGTGGGATTACAGGCATGAGCCATGGCAACTAGCCGAATTATAATTTCGGATGTGATTGTTCTTTTGTTCTGTAGCTCAAGGCTAGACACACAGGGAGAATGACACCATTTGCTGGAGGATTGGATTGTCTTTGTTCAGGCTGCAAACCAGCTTTTGCATCAAAGTTGAGGTCTAGAGAAGGCCATCTCCTTGAGCCCTTCGTGCTAGCTAGAGTACATGTTCCAGCAAGCCAGGACTCTGTAGTGATTTGTTTTTATCTTCCCTCCTCCTGAGCCTTCCTCGTTGAGAAAGAACAAAGTGGAAATAGTGCCAAACTCTTGTGTTAGAAAGTATGGTGGTTTTGCTGCTTTAACCTTGGTCGACTCACTTTACATTTCTGAGTTGCAGTTTTTCCATCTGTAAAATGAGAATAATAACTCATGAATTTTGACTCTACAGACTATTAGTGTAAGATAAGGATGCAAAAAGCTTGATAAACTAAAGCACTGTTTAGGTGTAAGGCAGTATTATTACTCTCCTCACTTCTTTATCCAGACTGGACCAGGCTTGCAGGGAACTGGTGCCAGACTCTGTATTTTCATTTTTACTTTCCCAGTATCTTCCCCTATGTAAGGGGCAGAACCCAGTGAGGCTCCTGACCCCATAATATCCAAGACCATGGACTTCCATGGTCTTGCCATCCAGGGAGGTTCAGCAACATAGCTAAACTTGATTTGCCAACTCTCAGCTCCCCCCAGCCATGGTTGGTTATAGCTTGGTAATGTGGGTCTGAGAAGCTTTGTTCCCTTCTCTCTACTCCATTGGAGATGCCAAGGAAGAATTGTTATTTCATCTCCTCTTAAAACGTTGACTTATCTCCTGTAGATGCTTGGCCAGGCTGTCAGAACATCCTGGGAGTTAATGAGAGAAGAATACATATAGCTCCCACTAAGTGACTATAATGTGTCAGGCACTATAGTTAGTGCTTATCATGTTTAAACGTGATAGCATCCTTTGAAATAGGTACTTACTATTTCCAGTTTACTGAAAAGAAAACTGAGGTTCAAAAAAGTTAAATCTCTTGTTCTAGGTCACATAGTGAGTTAAGTTGCAGAGCTAGAATTTGAACTTAATTCTATCTTATTCCAAAATTTGTTGTTCTAATGACCATACCATGAGGCCTCCTGTTGCTATACAGAAAGAGGGGCCATGTACTACATAGGAAAACTCAGATTTCCATTCATATGATCTACATGAAGATCCCAACTGTACCTATGCGATCTGGGACAAGTGGCTTTCAACTTTTCCAAGCCTTAGATACTATCTCATTAACTTGTCACCATAGGTGGTTTTTTTTTTTTTTTTTTTGCTTGTTTTTTTTTTTTTTTTTTTGGCAGGGGGTTATTTATTTATTTGAGGTAGGGTCTTGCTCAGTTGCCCAAGCTGGAGTGCAGTGGTGGGATTATGGCTCACTGCAACTTCCAGCTCTCGGGCTCAAGCGATCCTTCCACCTCAGCTTCCTGAGTAGCTGGGACTACAGGCTTGCGGGACCACACCCGGCCAATTTTTGTATTTTTAGTAGAGACAGGGTTTCACCATGTTGGCCAGGATCGTCTCAATCTCCTGACCTCATGATCCACCTGCCTTGGCCTCCCAAAGTGCTGGGATTACAGGCATGAGCCACTGCGCCTGACCAGTAGATGTTATTCTTATCTCCAGTTTACATTTGAAGGGAACAGGCCTCAGTGAGTTGAGATGACTTGCCCACGGATGCAGAATAGTAAATGGCAGAGCCAGAACTCAGGTCCAGGTCTGTCTGACATCTGCTTCAGTGTTCTTTCCACCATTTTTCACAGCCAGCTCCTAAGACCTGGTGTATCATTCAGCTAGATTTATAGCTCTGAGTGTGCTGGTTGGAAGCTGGCATCCTTTTCTGCTCTTTCTCCTCCCATACTTTCTCCCTCTTCTTAGAAACCTTACAAAGGCAATATAGGTATTTGAAATTCAAAGAAGAGATTTATGCTGTGCTTAAAATCTGCTCATGCTGCCCCATTAGACACCTGGGAATCTGCCTCTCGTCTTTTGTATGGGTTTGTACTGTTACTTTGGTAGCATGGTGTGGTAGGTATAGTTTTGGGAAAGTTCTTTCTCAGCTCTTTTCTTTATGAATATAATCTTGCGAGGTGGCTGTAAAGTTAGAGATGATGAATATTCAAGGGTAGAAAGTACAGGCTTATTATTTGATGGCAGTTATTTCCCCTGGCACCAGGATCTAATAGAAACCAGAATAGGAGTCAGGAGTTCTAAATCTTTTACTCCTATTCTTTGACCTTGGATATGTGAGTCACTGTTTCTAGATAGACTGGCTAGTCTTTAGGGACCCCTTTCAGCTTTAATATCCTGCACTTTAAAAAATAAAAGTAATAAGATGCTTGTTTTAAAAAAAATCAAATTTGACAGAAGTATTTGAAGGAAAAAGTGAAAGACCCATATCCTTTCCCCCATTCAATTCATTCCCAATGTGTAACTCTTATTACCAATTTGATGTATCCTTTTCAGTGTTCTCTGTGTACACTAAATATACACAAGTATGTGTAACATACACACTTTATATCATATGCATGTATATATAAATACACATGTATGTGTTACACACACTGGAACCTACAATACATATTATGTCTTGGTTCTTTTACTTAACATGTTTTAGCTATTTTTTTCTTGTTGGTACTTAAAGATTTACTTTATTGTTTTCAATGTCTTATACTTTATTAAGTGTTGGCTGGGCATGGTATCTCACACCTGTAATCCCAGCACTTTGGGAGGCCAAGGTGGGCAGATTGCTTGAGTTTAGGAGTTTGAGGCCAGCCTGGGCAACATGGAGAAACCCCATCTCCATAAAAATTAGCAGGGTGTGGTGATGCACACCTGTGGTCCCTCCCAGCTACTTGGGAGGCTGAGGTGGGAGGATTGCTTGAGCCCAAGAGATTGAGGTTGCAGTGAGCTGTGATTGTGCCACTGCACTGCACTCCAGCCTGGGCAACAGAGCGAGACTGTCTAAAAGAAAATCAAGTGGTCCCCTATTGATTATGTGCTATAATTTTTCCTTTTTTAGAGATGAGATCTCACTATGTTAGCCAGGTTGATCTTGAACTCCTGGCCTCAGGCATTCCTCCCACCTCGGCCTCCCAAAGTGCTAGGATTGCAGGTGTGAGCCATTGCACCTGACCAATTATGTGCTATGATTGTTTAAAGCAAATATACACTACAATGTTGATTTTTAAAATTTTCTTTTCAGGAGAAGAAGAAAAAGAAACATAGAGATAGGAAGTCATCTGACTCTGACAGCTCAGACTCTGAGAGTGATACAGGCAAGAGGGCAAGGCACACATCAAAAGACAGCAAGGCAGCAAAGAAGAAGAAAAAGAAGAAGAAGCACAAGAAGAAGCACAAGGAGTGAGAGCAGAAAGAGTGTAGGGGGTGGTTGAGAGTAAGGAACCAGGAGCTTTGTTCCTTGAGACTCCTGGAAAGACTCAATAGTGAGAATATAGCCTCCCACCCCCTTAACTTTGCTTCCATGGGAGATGGCTTTCCCCTTCCATGGGAGATGCAACAGGCAGGTTTGGGAGTTAGAGGTCAAAAGCAGCTGCCTGAATGAGTTGTTGTTTCCTTGTCACTCCTGGTCCCTTTGCAAGTGAACCCTGCAGCTCACCCATTCATTTGCCCAACTTCTTCATTCAGCAGGAGGTCCTATTACCCTCTCCAGCTGCCACTGCCAGAGCTGGATTCCTGTAAAGGAGTCCAGGCTAGAGCCACAGAGACTGTTGTGGAGGTGAGTTCGACTGTAGTTAGAGAAGAGTGATTGGACCCTTCCTATTGGTCTGTCCTGGGCCGATTGGTGGGTGATCTCTCCTGCATCCAACATGGGAGCAGAGAGAGACTGGCAGCAGGAGGGGGAACATGGTGAGAAGTGGTGCTCACTTTTCCCATTCCTCCTAACATAGTTCTATGCTAGAAGTGGCATCCAGCGGCCACAGCTAGAAAAGTCTGCAGTGTGACTTAACTTGTGTATTGCATTCCAGCAGATGACTGAACCAGACAGCGAAGCCAAGATCATTGTTCTACTTTGTATTTACTACTGTGTGAATCAGTTGATTCTACTTCAGGTCCTTGCTTAAATTCCTGTCACTAAATGGAAATGTGTTTGGTTTTAAGCTTACCGAAAGTTATTTTTCCTATAATCCTTCTTCCTGGGTAACTTACAGACTTAAAGTCACTGAGCCTGCATTAGCTGACAAAAACATTTAATATGTTACCTTAGACCTTGGAGAGATGCCCAGCAGAGGTACAGAGCCAAAGGCACTAGCCTTCTTGGGAGATCACTTATAAGCCCTCCCTTTTGTAATGATCAGATGCCCTCTTCCCTCAGAGTTGATTAGAGAAGCAGTAAGAATTTGTAGTCATGAGTACTAGCCTGGTGCAGAGGTCAGCATTCCTCTTGGCCAGTGGTCATTTTCTCCCACCACCATGGTACAAGCCTGGGTTCTGTGCCCTGAAACTGAATTCTGGAAAGGGAGAGACTACAGCGTTTCACAGAGAACAGCCAGACCCAGGAGCTTTCAGTGTAGGATGGGCCTGAAGTGACAGTTCAGTAGCCAAACCTGGGGAAGCCCCATCACTGACTGAACTAGGTCATTTGACCATGTTGGGGGGGGGGGGGCACTATAAAGGCAAAGTGTAGGTACAGCTGTTTTATTATTGAATGTGTAAGGTGATCAGCTGATTAACAGGCTCCAAGATTGTCCATTGCAGTCTCCCATCCAGTGCTTCTTCCTGAGTAACCTTCAGGCAGTTATTTCTGCCCACTATCTGACACACAGGATAAACCAAGACTCTCAGAGTTAAGTTACCAAAGGCAAAAAGGCAACCAGGTGGTCTTGGCTCTGCTTTATTGACCTCAGAGCACCCTGTGAGTGCAGTTAAAAAAAAAACACACACACACGTACACAATGGGAACTGGATCCCGGCCAGTGGCACCTGACCTCAGAAGAATTCGTGGATTTGTACAAAATGCACAGGAAGAAATGAGGCAATGTGGTGCTGAGTCGAGGGGTAGCCGATTGGCAGAGTAGTAGTCAGCAACAGTGCAGTCAGGTCATGCCTCTTTCTCATAAGTGCGAGTGCAAACTGCAGTGCCGTGGGTGAGTGTCTGGAAGGAAAGACAGAGTGAGATGGGGGGTGGAGCCAGGAAGGCCATTGCCAGCATTCTACCCTCCCTTCCTCCTGATAATTGTCACTTGAGTACCTACTATGTGCCCATTGTACGTGTGTGTGTGTGTGTGTGTGTATAAATTTTTTTTCTGATAATGTACAGCAAATCCTTAAGACAGGCATTGTAATTGTTATTTTAGAGACTTGGAAAACACGAGCCTTTAGAGAGGAAGTAATTTGGTCAAGATCCTGAGTGTTTCTCCTTTCCTTATACCATTTGGCTTCCTTCATCCTTAGTGTCTAAGATGGTGCCTGGCTTATAGTCGACAAATAGGAAAAATATCCAGAGACTCAGGAAAGGACCGTATTTGGCTACCAACTCCAATCCTTCCCTAACTTAGAGTAGTGCCAGGGCCAGAGCCCTGTACCTCCCACTGTCCAGTCTGGCATCATAGAGCCAGACCCATGGCCTCACCATAGTTCAGTTGCCCCCTGAGAATTTGGTCCTGCGTATCACATCCCCACCAAAACTAGGCACCTCATTCCAAACTTCAAGGGGACCCCTGTCCCACGTGAGTGCAAGAATGCAGTTAAGAGGTTATGCTGACCCAAGAAGGTGTGCAGTGAAGATGCCTAGGTGAAAAACCTGAGGCCCTGCAGTTAGGCAGAATCTACAGTTGGCTGTTCTCCCTGGGTCTGGGGGGAATTCAGTCAAGGCTTGAACAGATCTGCCAGCCTGGCTGTGGTACTTCCTACCCAGGCAGTAGTGAAGTAGTTGCAGTAGGCCAGACATAGAAAGCATGAAAATGGGGTAGGACTAGAATGGGGAAGAAAGGACTGTACTGTCATTCAGTTTCCCCACCAGTCACGAGCCTGTCCCTGCAAGTGACAATGCAGTCCTAGGGAGGAGAGGAAAGGGAATGCTGAGATAGGCAATGGGAGTCCCTCCTAGAGGGCCTGGGATCAGATTTGGCCCTGTTTTCTACTTCTTCCTGAGGCGAGTCAAGGTAGAAACACAGGAAGAGCAAACAAAGGACATGGAGCACGTGCTGTGTTCCTCAATCAGTGATGCTTTGTGCTGTGCATACACTGTCTCTTACAGGCTTCCAGCAGCCCTACAAGGTTGGTATTATACCCATTTTACAGTTGCACTTGGAGAAGGTGATTTGCCCACAGTCATGTGGCCTATAAGGTAAGATTTGAGTCCCAGCCTGTGTGAGTCCAAAACCACTACACAGAAAATTCCCACCTTACACCACCCTGACCCTGCAACCACTCTCTTGTCCCAGCTTCTATGGCTCTCAGGGGAGGACTTGGCTTTTTAGAACAGGCTTGGCTGAAAGAGCAGTAGTAATAATCAATCAGATATGGCTCCAAAGTTGCCCATCTTACCAGGATGAGTTTTCCATCAATTAGCTCCCGCACAAGTGTCGTCTCTTGCCCGTCCCATTTCTGCAGGTGAATGAGTTTCCCTCCATCCAGTGTCACAATGGACTGTGGAAAGAGAGTATAGGCCTGAGCTGTGATCTTAGTCAGGATTGAGGGGCAGGGTGCGATCTGGATACTGGGGCCCCAGAGGACACAGCCTTTGACCCAAACTAGTGATGGTGTGAGGACGAGAGCTCAGGCAATCCACCTCCCAGCTAACCCCACAGGACATCTAGTTCACCTCCAGCCTCTGCTCCACTACTGCCTTGCTAGGGAAGAGGCCTTCAGATACTAGGCAAGGAGGGAGAGGCAGGAAGTATGGTGGAGCCAGAGAGCCTGGCTCTGAGAAGCACCACAAGCCTTCAAGATAGACAGTTATCTGTACTCTAGGTGATGCCCGCAGCCTGGTCCCCTCAGATACAGGTGGGATTTACTAGTCTACCCCTGGGAAAGACTGACTGAGGAGGAGGAATAGTCCTGAGAATCTTTCTCCAGCCTTGTGGTTAGTCTATATGATGTCTAAAAGACCCTTAGCAATAGGAAGTATTGGATAATTAGACTTCCTGGCCTGTATTCCTACACCTTTTCTTGGTCCATATCATGTGACCTCTTTAGCTGACAAGAGGGCAGCAACCACACAGTCCTGTGACTGGATGCCCTTGAAGTGTTCCTCAGCTCTGGGTGCTGCCATACATACATCAGCTGGTTCTCATTTGGCAGCTCTTCCAGGTCTCTCTTTCCTAGGAGTTTGGGGGCCACAAGGCCAGGCTAAGGGATCCTGATGAGCAAGGTGGTTGAGTAGGAGAATCTGAGAAGGTTCTGTGTATTGTTTGGGTGATAAGGAGTATGGGGCCTGTCTCTTAGTGTGCTCTTCTTTATCCTTACCTTACTGCTTGTTCTCATTCCCCTAGTTTTTTTTTTTTTTTTTTTGCCTACTCAGAGTAGATATTTTTGCCCTAGGCATTCCAGAGGGCTATTGTGTTTAATTGGGGTTCTTGTCCCTTGAGAAAGTAGGCAAGTCCAAGGAGGCAGGGGCATGTGGTGGGGCAGCCACCTTTATCCCAAGTAGACTGCCATCTTTGGGCACCATCCCCAGCTCTGCTGCCAGCCACCTGTGTGATCCTGTGCTTTCTGGGGACAGCTATGAGGAAGAGGAAATAGCTGATGGGGCTGAATGATAGTGTCATGATAGAACACTGCTATAGGGACACCCTATAGAGGTCAAAGCCCCTAAGTTCTCTCACTCCCATGCCTGGCCTGGAAGGCTGAGGCAAGCTGCCAAGACAGTCACTGCAGGGTGACAGAACCCTGGGAGAGGGGGCTAAGGTTTGGTGGAAAGACACTGCAAACACATTCATGACAAGGTGAATGCGCTATCACGGAACATAGCTCTTCCTGCCTGTCCACTGGCAACATCGGAAATAGTTTGTCAGGGTCATTGGCCATGTCTGAGAATTAGAAGTTGAAGCAGCATCTGAGTAGGTGGCTTCTTGTTCCTGGCTGCCTTTTTTGCTGCTGGAGGCCACAATGACCTCACTCAGTGGAGGGCCCTGACTTCTGGGCATCATTCCTAAAGCACTTCAGGTCACAGCCATGGCCACATAACTCCGCCATCTATGGAAGGGGAAAGAAACCTAGAGCTACTGCATACCTTGCACAGGGTCACCCAGCTGGAGCTGAAGTAGATACTGAGGTCAGAAGAATATCCTGGCTCTGTACTGCCCATTCTGAGGCAGACAATAGATGAATCCCAAGAAGGAGGGAAGAAAACAAGAGGACAGAACTGACATGTATTTAGCAGCAGTGGCATTCCAGCACTACACAGGCTTTATGAACCTTGTTTCATTTAAATTCCCCATGATAGTCTGCCCCTCAGGGTACAATACCAGGGAGCCAAGACTACCAGCCTATTCTCTTTTAGAGTCTCAGCACTCTTCATTCCCAACCCCTGTTTCCCTGACTTACCTTGACCTTCCTGTCATCTGCTGTTGTCTCATCAAACTCCACCCCCAGCTTGAAGTTGATCTCTGTGTTCTTGAAGGTGCTGTGTGTTTTTAGGGTGAGAATGTCCCCATTCTTTTCGATGATTGTGGTAGGCTTGGTCATGTTGGCCACCTGCCTGGTAGCAAAACCCACTCCTGAGGGTTGGGGGAAGATTATGAGTATATGAGCTTGGGTAGAGAAGCAATGTACAAGAAACTCAATGCATAACTCTCAGGCCTGGGTATGGGGAAGTGGAGGACTGTATCTTTCAAAGCCTTTGCATGGGAATTTTAAAATTCAGTCTTGCCCTTCGTTCTGTTTGGTGAACACAAATTACTGATCCCATTAGACAGATGAGATACTTAAGGAACAGCGGTGCCATAGCAAGTCAGTGGCAGAGCTGGGATTGGAATAAGTTACTATTGGGCTGAGCGTGGTGGCTCATGCCTGTAATCACAACACTTTGGGAAGCCAAGGCAGGTGAATCACATGAGGCCAGGAGTTCAAGACCAGTCTGGCCAATATGGTGAAACCCCGTCTACTGAAAATGCAAAAAATTAGCCAGATGTGGTGGTATGTGCCTGTAATTCCAGCTACTCAGGAGGTTGAGGCTGAGAATTGCTTGAACCTAGGAGGTGGAGGTTGCAGTGAGTCAAGATTGTGCCACTGCACTCCAGCCTGGCCGACAGAGTGAGACTCCATCTCAAAAAAAAAAAAAAAAAAAGTACTATGAACTTTTCGTGTAGTAAGAACTGTACATGTTATCTCATTTAGTTCTTCCTGTTCCTCTGAAGACTGTTTCCATGTTACAGATGCAAAAAGAGAGGTAAAGCCCAGGGTCACAAATCTGATATTGAAGCCCAGAATTGTCTGACTCCAGAGCTTGCTTAAGTGCTCAGCTATACTACCTCCCAAGGCTAGAGCATAAGGCTGAGGAAAGAAGAGAAACGTAGACTTTCCCTTCCAAAGCCTTAGGCATAAGAGCTTTCCAACTTTGGAAGTTTTTATCCTGAAGCTAAGAAGCGTTAGTGCTCTTGTCCCTTATATATGGCAACCCATCATTTTCAAAGCCTGTTATCTATGATCTAGGAGTTAGGTACAAAGGAAGTATTTGTACTATTGTACAGATTGAGGAGGAGCCTAAAGCGGTAGCAACAATGAGTTAGA